TCGGGACGGGGCGCCGCCCTCCCCCGTGTTGCCTTGGGACCATCCGCTGGACCCCGCAGGTGGAGTGACGGTGGCCAGGGGCTTCCCGGGGCCCTGCCAAGGGGTGGGGGACAGGGCCTGGAGCAGGGGCCATCTCCTTGGCTGGTGCTGGGGGCAGCGGGGAACCACGTCCCACTCCATGCCGTGGGGTTGGGGAGCCTTGATGTCGTCCATCCTGGGGGCTTGGGGCCCTCAGTGGGACCCTGCAGGGATGGGGGGGTGTAGGCTCGGGGTGCCTTGCTGTGATTGGGATGGGGGGCCCTGGCCCGTGGCATCAGGGTGCCCTAATGTGACCCTGCATGGGGGCCATGGGACTGGGGTCCTTGCTGCCACCGGGACGGAGGTTGTGGGGTCAGGGCACCTCGGTGTGACCCTCCTGGGGTGTCGGGGGGCTGTGGGCTTGGGGTGCCTCACTGCTAGGCTGATGGTAGCCAGGAGGCCCTGCTGTGACCCTGCAGGGCCTCGGGGGGGCCAGGCCCCACTCTGACCCCGCTGCTGTCTCGGCCCAGACTTCGACGGGCTGTTCATCAGCAACGGCCCTGGGGACCCACAGCTCTGTCAGGAGACAGTGTCCAACCTGCGCCGGGTGCTCGATGCACCCCAGCCCAAGCCCATCTTCGGAATCTGCCTGGGCCACCAGCTGCTCTCCCTGGCCCTCGGCGCCCGCACCTACAAGATGAAGTGAGCAGGGTCTGGGTCCGGGGCTGGGGTCAGGGTCACTGTGGGGTCCCAGCTGCCCGGGGCTGCCTGACACCCGTCCTGCCACCCCAGGTATGGGAACCGTGGGCACAACCAGCCGTGCCTGCATGAGGACACGCGGCGCTGCTTCATCACGGCACAGAACCACGGCTTCGCAGTGGAGGTGGGCAGCCTGCCGCCCGGCTGGGCCGCGCTCTTCACCAACGCCAATGACGGCTCCAACGAGGGCCTCATCCACGAGCACAAGCCCTTCTTCAGGTGGGCACAGGGTCGTGGCTGGGGGGGCCGGGGGGGCACAGGGCTGTGCCTTGCCTGACCGCCTCCGCAGTGTCCAGTTTCACCCTGAGCACCGTGCCGGCCCCACGGACCTGGAGGGGCTCTTCGACATCTTCGTGGCGGCAGCGCGGGACCTGCAGAGGGGAGAGGGCAGCGCCCGCACAGGTGAGTGCGAGGCGAGACGGGGCAGCCGGGCCCTTGGGTCCAGGGCGGCGGGGCCGGGGCCGTGTGCTTGCCTGACCGCCTCCGCAGTGTCCAGTTTCACCCTGAGCACCGTGCCGGCCCCACGGACCTGGAGGGGCTCTTCGACATCTTCGTGGCGGCAGCGCGGGACCTGCAGAGGGGAGAGGGCAGCGCCCGCACAGGTGAGTGCGAGGCGAGACGGGGCAGCCGGGCCCTTGGGTCCAGGGCGGCGGGGCCGGGGCCGTGTGCGGGGCCAGGCTGTGTGCGGAGGCTGCAGGCAGGACCCTGGGGCAGGGGCTGTGGGCGCCGGGCGGGACTGTGGGGCCGGCTGGGGACAG